GTCCGTTGGGAACGTATTGCGTATTACGGAGCTGATTTAAACTGCCAGTGTGAAGGCGGCATAAACGACCTCTCCATTACAAACATAGCAAGCCTATAAACCGCTCGTTTTGATATTAGAATACATTTCAATATGACTGCCTCGCCTCCAGAGCATAAGCCCCGCCCACTGGCGTTCAGTCACTTAACGGCTGACACTTGCCTACACTGCATTTGAGCGAGTTGTCAAATGCAAATAGAAGCCATTATTATGACTGACGCTGTCTACACTCATACAGTATACAGATATGAGTCACATGACTAGCAGTAAGCTAGATCAACATTAGACTAACATACAGATTATATTCTCACATTGTATCACGTTTAAGCTATATAAAATTGATTAGTTTTATGTACATTTGCCCACCTGTCTATTAAATTACATGAAAGAGCAGCGTCTCATCAAGTCGAAGTTAGTCGCAGACGTCGAGCTCTCATCATCTCGAAAACGCCACCCTGATATTGATCCTCGTTTTAGTTCTCCTTTTGTCCCAAAGTCTGTTTGGCATGATGATCCATAATGTTTGAACGAAACAACAACAGCGTACCACTAAACATAACATCTGTTGCCATGGCTACTATGACAGTACAAGCGGAACCAGAGATATCGCGGATATTACATCATTGACAGCCGACAAGTGACACTATTTAAAATTGTGAATTTCTCTGAATTTACAAATTCTTGGAAACATTTAGGATAATGCATGTAAATATTTGAAAGAAATATATAACACTGTGCAAGTGATTTTTGGATATTTTTATACAAAATTCTAACATATTGTACCTTTAAAGTTGTATGCAAAGATATACGAGTAATGTGATAATGTTGTAAAATCATTACATTAACATGAAGCAGCTTTCATGAATGAGAGATTGAAAATAGAGGTCTGACACTGGTTTATTCAGTAGGATAAAGCTGATTCACACAGCAGCTGTCTGAATCACAATGGACAGTGTTGATCACAGTCCAGCTCCTCTTTCATCACAGGAGACTGGCACAGACTGACCCCGACCACGGAAGAGAGTATCTCTACCCAAAACACACTTATCTCACAGCACACGAGCTCAGCTGCCACGGGTGGGCTAGATATGACCGTGACGAAATACGGGAATTCCTCAATTTGCAGTGTATCATGGGAGTGTGCGATATAAGAGTCTGAATGTAAATGCACTTTGGGATGGATAGAATTATTTAAAAACACATGAAATTGACATCCTCGAACTGTGCTTGAGACACATGGGGGTTATGCGCAACAAACTTGAAAATATAGAGCCATTTTACTCAAGATGCCCTCAAAGGAGCAAGCAAAGATGAGCATAACCGAGGTCCATCGCATATGCAGATTTATATCTAAAAGGTTTTTTTTTCCCCTTCTTCTCACTAACATTTAGATATTTAAAAAAAAAAAAATGGCAACAAGTCCGCTTAGGTTCGCCATTACACTTACTACAACAAGTGGATGCAAGAGAAAATTTGACTTCCAGTTTTTTCATGTGACCTTTGGCATAAAGCCTCTTTAAAAGGGTAAAAATGAGACTAAATTTGTAATTAGTGGTTGAAGATTTTTTTTTTTTTAATTATGTTATAGGCCTACAATCACTCACAATATATATATATATATATATATATGAAGAGTTCAGATGCAAAAGCCTCTAAGTGCCATTTGAAATTTTCTTCTAAAATGATCATTTTTATATTTAAGTTCAGTAATTTCACTTAAATGGCACTGAAGATTACCTATTAATTGTCATTTAAGTGAAATTACTGAACTTAAATATACAAGCTTGATAAAAATGGTCATTTTAGAAGAAAATTTCAAATGGCAATTAAAGGCTTTTGCATCTGAACTCTTCATATATATATAGAGCTAAACAGGGACATTACAGACAGCTAACTGAAATGAAACCATTCAAAACTAGGTTTTGTTACTTGACATAAAATAAATATTAACGTAAATAAAATCTAAAAAACCTTAAACTTATTTTATTTCAGAGAGTTGCCAAGGCAAAATTCATTATTTCCATTCAGTCTAACTTGATATACTAAAGTAAACTGAAACAAAAATGTATAAAAACGTCAAAATACACACTATTTCTAAAATAAAAAAATGAATTTATAATATTAAAACAAATAATATATAAATCACAATGATAAATATAAAAAATAATATAGTATCTCATTAACACAACAATAAACAAAAGTTAAAAATATTTACGTAAGTTTATAAGACCCTTTGTAAGTTTATAAGACTTTATTATTTCCCATGCAATTTCCAGTCATTCAAGAGAGTTAGTCAAGAATTAAAAAAAAGAAAAAAAGTTCTTGAGATTGTCCTCACAAAGAACAATTTTGAAGTAAAGAAACATTTAAAAGCAGATCGATCAAATTGCATAAATGAAGCATTAGGCCCTTTAAGCCCCTTTATCAAACAAACATTTCATGGCACCAACCTACATTATAATGACATGTTTGTTAGTTATTGATTTTTCATGCTGCACAACTATATAAATATGATCATGTGGGTCAGTAACTGGTCCAGGATAAGCTACATCTCATATACATGAGCTCTGGCTGCTGTCACATGACACTCTCGTCAGCCTCCATCTCCTAAGATGTTAAATTACATTAGAACATTCATATATCTGGATACTCTCCACTTCAACAGATGCACAGCGCACCGGCTGCATTAACTGCACAGTTCAGATCGACTGCCAGATTCAACCAACAACAAACAGCTGTGATCCAAGACACCTATGATCACGCACAAAAATATTCACCTTTAATCCACAATATGAATCAAACGCTGGAACCATAGACAGAATGATTACTATATTCAAGTGCCATTACATTTACATGATTCTTCAAGCACTATGGTATTTTATCAACAAGTGTAATGGACGTAGGTCAGTAAGAGCTGTGAGTATAACATCACTCCCCTGGCCTCAAGAGGTGCACTAGCATCTTTAGCATCCTTTTTACTGTGCACGCCTCCCACGCCGCCGGAGACGCTGGTTCGAATCCTGCTCGCCACGGGTCGAATAGCACCGGTTACAATTGGCTTTATGCACAGCTGCACTACTACCTGAACTTAAGCCAACTCCTTGTTTCCTGTCTGCCTTTATTGGCCGAACTTGATTAATTCAGGTGCGTCTGATTATTCTTGCCGTGACTACTGAGGTCAAGCACACCTGAATTAATCAATTTGTCCAATAATGGCAGACAGGAAACAAGGAGCTGGCTTATGTTCAGGAAGTAGTGCAGCTGTGCATAAGGCCAATTGCATGTCCAAAAATAAAATTATTATAGTATATTTTGTTAGTGAGTAAAACTAAGTAACTACAAATACTGTAATACTGCAGTATGGAAATATCAGTAATCTTTAAAGTACCTTAGAGTGCAATGTAAATGTTGAAGTATATATGCAATATATTATTAGTACATATGTCCAATAATCTATATATTGTGGGGTGTCATGTAAATGCTACAGTAAATGAACATGGTTCTTTACTTTTGTAGGTTAGGCTTTATATATATATATATATATATATATATATATATATATATATATATTTTTAGGACTGTCAAATGATTAATATGCGAAAAAAAATTGTTAAAAAAATTGAAGAATTGTTAAAAATTAAAAATTGGACAATCTCAAGAACTTTTTTTCTTTTTTAATTCTTGACTAACTCTCATGAATGATTGGAATTGGAATGGGAAATAATAAAGTCTTATAAAAAATAAAAGTTTGTGTTTACATAATATATGTGGGTGCACTGCACTGTGTATAATTATTTAGTATATATATATATATATATATACACACAAACACATCCATGTATTTTTTAAAAATATATATAATTTATATATAAAATATTTATATTTATATATAATAGAAATTATGTATAAATCTATATACAGTATATAGCCTACATGAAAATATTTCTTAAATATATACAAGCATGTGTGAGTATTTATATATATAAAATAATCACAGTGCACCCACATATATTATGTAAACACAAACGTTTTTTTGATGTGATAATTTGATGTTGTATGACAGTGATGGGTAAACCAAGTTTTCAGTGTTGTACTGCCCTAGCTATGCTGTTTTGTTCAATATATATATATATATATATATGAAGAGTGAGTTCAGATGCAAAAGCCTCTAAGTGCCATTTGAAATTTTCTTCTAAAATGATCATTTTTATCAAGCTTGTATATTTAAGTTCAGTAATTTCACTTAAATGGCAATGAAGATTACCTATTAATTGTCATTTAAGTGAAATTACTAAACTTAAATATACAAGCTTGATAAAAATTGTCATTTTAGAAGAAAATTTCAAATGTCATTTAGAGGCTTTTGCATCATCTGAACTCTTCATATATATATATATATATAATTTTTTTTTTATTTTTTTTTTGTAATGTACCAACCAACATGATTAGGGCACTGTAAAAATAATATGATTAATAAGTCATGACAATATGTTTTCATATTGCTTTAACTCATCAAACTCAGTTAAGGGATTTTCAACTTTTTGTATAAGTTAAACAATTTTCAAACTCATTTTTAAGTAATTTTACAGTTAATGTCAAGTTGATTGTCCTTAAAAAAATAAGGCAACTTTTTTTTCTTCTTTTTTACAGTGTTGCAGAAAAACACTAGGCTACATACGATGTGTGCTTCAGTAAAGTAAGGGCGTCACCATCGTACAGTGGGGTAATACCATGGTACTTCTGCCTACCTACTGCAATGCTACTGACTGCCAACAGCATACACCACGGTATTTTCGAGGTATTTACCGTAAAGTGTCCAAAAAAAGGATCGTACTTTTTAAATATAGAACTCTCATTATGTCTCTTCAGTGAGTTCTTACTATGGCTAACACTGATTATTGTTAACGGTCGTGAATCTCGGGTGTTATCGGTGTGTGTGGATGAAGCTGGATGACACCCACCGTCTATGTTCTCTCGGTCGCTGATGTGCTGGAGGTTGCAGCCCGTGTCCTCTCGGCTCAGCTCCGGTTCGGGCCGGTACGGCTCCAGCCTCGAGTGCGCGTTCCTCCGGAGCTTCGGGCTGGACGACACGCAGCATGATGTGCTGTTCCCCATGAGTACCGGTGTATGTGCGGATAAACGAACAGATGATGGGTGGAACAGCTGCGGATGACGGGGTGAAACACGGGCTCTGCGATCTGCGAGATCACTCCCGTGCCAAACGGTCGTGTAAAGACATCAGGGTGTTTCTAATCACGACTGTCCTCATTAAATCAACACACAATCCACGCGGCTGCTCTACGGGGTGTTTATATGTGCCGTAGATTATTCCATTCTCACCCGTCGCAGTAACATTGTATCGCACAGCTGTCAGTGTATCGCCGAGCCCACGATCACACACACACATCACACACAGAGAGAGAGAAAACACACGGAACAGCTTCCGGTTCAGTGACTGACGTCACTCCAAACGATACATTTTATGGCTATCTGCTTGCAAGAGATTTTAATGTAGCCTAAACACTGGCTTTCTCTGGCATATTTGTCTTTTTTAATTCGTTTGCATTAAACCGCGTTGGTTACACATTAGTTAATGGATACAATATGTACACTGTCACCCACATAGCCTATCCACTAAAAAAAAAAATAGTGTACAGTAATGGATGTGGTATTATGTAAAAAAAAGAGCATAATTTGGGGTTAGAGTGAAGAAACAGCACTTTTATTCAGAGACACAAACTGAGCATAACATGCAATTTCCTGAAGTTAACTGATATTGATACTAAGATGCAAGATGTTTGTAATGCAAATCAATGAGATCAACAGTATAACAGACTACTTACATAAAATGCATTTTATTATCAGTTGACACCCATTTCCGCCAATAATATCACTTATTAAGATAATATTTAAATTATAATAAATAAAGCTACTTTTTGCATTGCAGGGGCCAAAACATAATCCCTCGGAAGCTGAATAAAACAGATTTGCAGGGGAGTCATAATTTATCAATTCAAGAATATTTTCAAATATTTGCATACTCCTGTTCAGACCTTTATTTTGAAATAGTAATGAACATGGAACATCATGAAAGAATGGTGGTCCGGTGACCAGGTCCGTGTACTTTTTCGTTCATTCATTATTCTATTTCGGAATGAAAGATGAAATTTAAAAAAGGGGGGTGCAGCTTGGTTTTTTTTGTTTAAAAGAAAAACACATAAATGGCTGTGTTTGGCCAGGTCTCTCTTGTAAAAGAGATTTTTGATTTTAGCCCTCAAACCGTATTCACTTTATAGCCATTAAAGGAACACTCTGACTTGTTGGGACTTTAGCTTATTCACCATATCCCCCAGAGTTCGATAAGTCCATACATACCTTTTTCATCTCTGTGCGTGCCTTAACTCTGTCTGACGCACCCACTGCTTGCTTAGCTTAGCACAAAGACTGGATGTAAATGGATACAGCTAGCATACTAATCCCAAATAAGTGACAAAACATTTTCCTATTTACATGTTGTGATTTGTACAGTCATGGTGTGTACAAATAACAAGGTCATATGAGAAACAGCCATCTTTTAACCATATAAATATTGGGAACTATATTCTCAGAAGGCGAAATATAATTTTTCAGTGTCTATCCAATTGAGTCCAAAAAAGTAGCCAAGTCTTTTACCGCTCAGATCGAGGGAAGTATTTTTTTTTAAAAAATAAATCTAAATTATTTTGACCACATTTGTCCAGAATACAGTTTTAGAGTTAATGAGACTTTTTGGTAAAATAACAAAATAAAATAAAATGGTTTGCGTTAATTCATAGTTGCATTAACCCCCCGGGGTTTGCGTTAATTCATAGTTTTAGTGACTTTTTTTTTTTTTTTTTTTGCTATATAATTGTTATTATTCTGCAATGTGTAAAATCACAATCACAGTGAATAATATGCCATTGAATTTTACCAGTATCTCAACAAAAAGTGGCCATTTAAAATAAAAAATAAAAAATTGTGACATTTATCATCTACACCAAAAAAATCTTTATTTGCAAAGCTTCACACATTTTTATTCTGTTTAGTTCAGTTTTTGTGATCTTGTTTCCCCCTGTCTTTTGTGAATTTGCTTCAGTCTTGTTAGTGTTCCCAGTCTGGTTGTCTAGAAATAGTGTTTAGAAAAAGTGTTAGTGGTGGCAATCCCAAAGCCACCAGAATGGTCCTCAATGCTGTGGCCTGCCGAAGGGTCCTCACCACCGAATGGTCAGCTCCGCCCTGGACACCCGAGGGTCCGACTGCTCCGCCCTGGAGGCTTCCCTTACGACGCATCAACAGGTGACTTGTGGGGACTTGAGATAGCCAGGTATCCCAGAATGCATCTCGCAACAACCTGCAAGGGTCAATAGCAAAGGAGAAAATCCTCGTATAATACCAAAATACTACTGTTTTGTGTCATGAAATGTAATATTAAGAGTGTTTCAGGTGAGAATGTGGTTGTTTAAATCTCATATCTATGGTTTATTTATAAAAAATAGTGCCAGTTTGAAAAATGCATCTGACGTTTTCGGAGTTCTGACATCCAAGCTTCACCGGAAGCTCAGCGCTCATCAATCCCGACTGGAACAGCTTTTCCTCAGCTAGTGCTTCTGACGTTTGCCGCTGGCTCTGATGTCTAATCTAGTGGATAACTTGACGAATATTTCGTCTTGTGTAAAAGTCTATCTTTGGTCTCATTAAACTAGTTTGTTGCGTGGCGAAAGAACGTTTTGGCTGAGGGAAAAGTGAAGTTTCATAACTTTATTTATTTAGGCTATTTATCTTCAACTTCGTAGCCTATTAGAGAGCATACTTATACCTTATTTCTCATTGTAGCTTCTGTACCTTTTAGGCTAGATATTATTGGTCATTAAAACTGTCATTTAACAAAAAAAATATGTATAATAGCCTACTTTAATGTATACAGTATATATATAAACATTCTTCACTATATACAATAAAACAAAATGACACAACCCTGTCTCTGTTTGTTAAATGTCAATACATATTACTAATGTTTCATATTTTTAAAATGAAAACAAAAATATTATGTTCATTTTGTTATAAGCAGTGAAGATAATCAATGTATGCGTTGCCTGCACCACATGGACATTAGGCTTAATATGTTCAAGTTTTTGTTTTTTGTTCTGTTTTTTTAAATGAAAAGAGGCAGAGTTGTAGCATATTTCGTGTTATTGTTGCCTAAAATATATTACTGGAGTAGCCAGAGCATGCTGAACACTATAGTAATAAAAAGAAGGATCTGCTGTGCTGAAAGTTATAAAATTTTACAAGACTGCATCATAAATTATTGACAGATTTAATATGTTGGTAATCTGTAATTATTGTCTTGTCATCCATTAATAATTAATAATACCTACTTTTATCCTTCAAGACTGTAAGTCAAGGCAAGTTTATTATAAACTTTATTGTAGGCCTACTGTGAATCAAGGAAAAGTGAAAATTAATGGTAATTCAGGATTATAATGATCATAATATAAAGTCAAGCTTAAAATCATATAAACGAATCTGGACTGGAATAAAAATACATGAAAAATAAATATTAATGGTAGGCTATAATTGGTAGGTTTAATATTAGTAGTGGGGAAGGGGTTAGGATTAGGGGTGGGGTTAGGATTAGGCAATCAGGTACTGACTTCAACGAGGGAGGGGGGTAATCATTCGTCAGGGAGTCGAAATTCAGCACAACACCTGTATGAACAAAGTCTCTTTACAGCTGTTTGAACGCCATGGAAATATTGACAAGTGAAGCACATTATCAGTCAATTGAATACAACAGCGCCCTCTAGTGGCGCAACGTGAGTTTTGTACTTGTTAAATCAATCTGAGTGTCTTTGAAAGTGAAGGAAGGAAGGAAGGAAGGAAGGAAGGAAGGAAGGAAGGAAGGAAGGAAGGAAGGAAGGAAGGACAGACAGACAGACAGACAGACAGACAGACAGAAAAGAAAGTGATTTTACTGATTTTTTTTTTTTTTTAATTTTAAAGACCGCAATAGGTATGGAATTAAATTTTTGCCAATAATAATGAAATGAAAGCAACTTTTTCAAGTAACTAATGCAAATATAAATTGAAACTGAATGATATCGTATCATTTTATTAGATAGGCTATTTTATCTGTGAAACTGAAGAAAAATCGCAGGCAAATATTTTGACTTCGTTTTTAATACACTGCATGTAACTGTTTTTACATCTTTCTTTTGCTGATCTGAACTTACAAATGCGCTCCCATAGTTTTCATTTACGCTTCTGAAATTTTCGTTGCTCCCTGAGTTCCCTTTCAAACGGTCACTTATATAGTTTACATAGACTCCCGAGATCGCCATTATAGCAGATTTTTACTCCTTCAGTGACACATGTCCCTGAGCTTTTTGCCGTTTATTCGCCGTCAAACAAGCCTTTCGGCTTCTTTTCAGCTTCTAAGAGCTTCCATTCAGCAGACTTCGCCTGCAAGCCGTTGTCTCCTGACGCCGTCTCACCTGTGGCTATCCGGCGACAGTCTATATCCTTTGTCGAAAGCTTTGTGTTCTATTTCAGATGCCTTGTTCGTCCTGTGCCACGTGCTGAGGCCCTCTGCACGAGGTACTGTAGACCAACAGTCAAGCTGCATTTCCTGCCTGAGGATCGACCACGTGGAGAATGCACTCTCTGGCGGCGGATATGTGGCCTACGAAAGCATGCCGATCTCTGTGCTGCAGAGGGGTGTGTTAACTGGTGTGGGTATATAAGATTGGGTAAGGTATGATTATTTGCACACTGAAGAAGGCACGTGCCGAAACGTGTTTGTGTAAAATAAATTGTCTATGCAAAGTGCGGCCTCTGTCTTCCATATATGATCTCTGTGCTGCGCAATCGGCTAGCTCTCTCCCGAGATGGCGATGCTACTTCAGCCACGCTCTCTAATCCAAGGAAGAAGTGTTGCAGCCAATGGCAACCGGAGGGTATGGAAGTTGGTGAACACACGCCGGCCGCGTCCCTGCATGCTTCACTTTCTCCTACTCGGACGCCATCACCGGTCTTGTTCGTAGGAGACCATGCCCTCCCTCCCACGTGGCGGGCCTCGTCTCCTTCGGCGGGTCTCTCGAGCGTGACGCACCACCTCTGAGGATGAGTGGCCGGGCTCTCTCGACCCTGTCACCGCTTCATGAGATTTTTCATGGAAAAATCTTTCTCTGAACTTCGCTTTGTCCATTGTGCATTTTAATCGCCTTGTACAATACTGCGCCCGCAACTTTTTTATTTTTTCCTGAACTTGAAGCGTTGCTCTCTGAATGTTTAGCTTAGAAAGTTCCATATTGATGTATTTTGTAACATCCTCGTTTCTTCACACGCCGTTAAAGGGTTAGTTCACCCAAAAATGAAAATTAAGTAATTAATTACTCACCCCCATGCTGTTCCAACCCCATAAGACCTTCGTTCATCTTCGGAACACAAATAAAGATATTTTTGATTGAATCTGAGAGCTGGATCAGTCCTACATAGAATGCCTAAGGGACTGGCTCTTGACGGCCCATAAAGTCATTAAAGAAAATGTTTAAATGTTCCATGTGCCTACAGCGGCTCAATTATAAGTTTATCAAGCGACGAGACCACTTTTTGTGCGAAAAAAACATAAATAACGACTTTATTAGACTATTCTATTACTTCCTTATGGGCGCATGCGCGAGAACTGAGACGAGGACGTTCTCCTTCGACTACTTTTTGTTACGGGCTGCTCACCGCTTAGGAGTTTTACCGCCACCTACCGTATAAGATGATGTGCTGATATAGCTGGAAGCGCAAAACTTTCTGTTTACAAGCAGAGGAAGATGCGCGCTGTACATACGCTTTTCAATTAGCGTATTTTCCGCACTACAAGGTGCACTTAAAAGCCTTTAATCTTCTCAAAAAACAACAGTGTTCCTTATAATCCGGAGCGCCTTATATATGGATCATCATTTTATACGGTAGGTGGCGGTAATACTTCTAAGTGGAGCAGCCAGTAACAAAAAGTAGTCGAAGGAGATCGTCCTCGTCTCAGTTCTCGCGCATGCGCCCATAAGGAAGTAATAGAATAGTCGAATTAAGTCGTTATTTATGTTTTTTTCGCGCAAAAAGTAGTCTCGTCGCTTGATAAACTTATAATTGAGCCGCTGTAGGCACATGGAATATTTAAACCTTTTCTTTAATGACTTGGGCCATCAAGAGCCAGTCCCTTAGGCATTCTATGTAGGACTGATCCAGCTCTCAGATTCAATCAAAAATATCTTTATTTGTGTTCCGAAGATGAACAAAGGTCTTACGGGGTTGGTACAGCATGGGGGTGAGTAATTAATGACTTAATTTTCATTTTTGGGTGAACTAACCCTTTAAATTGACGTCATACCCTTTCTTCTGCCCAAATGCTCAGAAGAGCTGTGTATCCTCGACAGACCAGTACAGGCGATTCTCTGTTTCAAGCAGCGATTGTTTTGCGCGATATACAAAAGTGAAATGTGCATCTTGCTTCAGATCATAACGTTCCATAATACCGATAAACTCCGCCTTTTACCTTGAGCACACCTCTAGCCCGAGCTGGCCCGCTCTGGCCCAAGGTATTCGACGGGCCAGAAATCCTGGCCTTTGGCCCCGAGTAAGCCCCGGAAGTGACAGTGGAAACGCGACTGAAAGCATTTACACTATGAAAGCAATCTGGTCAAATGCATTCAACTACCTCTGGAAATTGTTGAAAGTAATGAGCTCAAAACTAGTGCTGGGCCGTTATTGGCGTTAATGTGCTGTGTTAACGTGAGACTCTTATCGGGCGATAAAAAAAATATCACCGTTAATTAAAATTGGGTTGGGATCATAAATACCTTTTCGAATATCATTATATTTTTGCGCAATTCTAATTTGTATTATGACATAACTGATGCCGCACCTACTGTCACAGATCGCGCAGCAGTATTTTCCTAAGGGACACAAGGTGTAGGCCTACTTTTACTTTGTTACGTTGGGCGACGTTCCTCTCGTTACTTTATTTTAATACAATACGTGGTTAAATGAGTTTATTCCAAGTGCGCTGTATCCTTTGTATGGGCATGAGCGATGCTCATTTACAAATGAATCTCTCTTTTGAGTCGATTCTGTTCAAAGACTTCCTCAAACAAGTTGTCACATCTGTCTAAATCGGTTCACGAATCAGTTAATCTGTTTAGTTCCTCACGCACTGAATCGTCTGAAGCGCTTTCAATTCACACTCGAGGACTCGTAAGTAACTGAAGATTTAAGAACATCAAGAGCGTTGGATGAAGTGGCCGTGGATCTACAGTCTAGTGTAAGCAAATCTGCAAATGCATCATATTTTTGCCAGCAATGAAGATTTTTATTAGTTGAACATCTTCATATGCTGTCTGTGAATGAATGATTCCACAGCACGATACATTCGATTTCATTTAGGTAATACATTTTACAACCAAACCAATTATTATGCCATGATAGCACTACTAAAAAGAATGACATTATCCAGTGTTTGGACATACTGTACATTAATTTATAGGCTACAAAAACCGCTTCAGAGCGTCAGCGCACTTAAAAGGTTAAATAAGCTACCATTATCAAAAATATTCTTTTTTTCAATTAGCTAGCCTACTATGTAAAAAAAAAAAAAAAAAACATGTTACTTGTTCAATTAATACAGTTTGTTGATTAATACAAATTGGCCTCCCTTTGTCATTTTTTTTTTTTTTTTTTTTTTTTTTTTTACAATATTCGACTTTTGCTCCTCAGTTGTCGAATGGCATTTTTGGCAGAAATGCACATACAGTATACGAGACGAAATATTCTCAAAGACTTACTTTTAGTCATTATTTGGGTAGCACACACATTCTGAATAGCCTATCTTCGGGATAATTCAAATGAGCCATTTTAATCTAGATTAATTTCAAGATTAAAAAAAAAAATAAAAAATTATCTATGCCCACCTCTACTCAACTTGAGTAGATTTGACACATTTACACCCATTTTTAGCATACATTTTTTTTTATCTGATCAACCAAAACTCATCTCCAGGTGTACAAGTAGGAGAGAACAAAGCAGATTATGTTAAAGATGAGGTTGTGCTAATGAAGTACAAAACAATACTAAGACTCCCAGTAAACACTTGAGATTATTTATTTTTCAAAAACAAAAATAAAAGAAAACAAAGGCAGAGTATGCAGCTATGTCTTCACTTGATGCAGCAACCTCAATAAGCCTGGAGACTGTTTCAGAATCTTAGCTTGAAGTGGTAGTTTACTCGGTTGCTCCAAAGGCTTGGAACCAAGACTGGAAAGAGACATGTAACTTGACTGTTCTGGCTTAGGAAAGACGTGGAATCTAGACTGCCGGGACACAGACTGGTAGGTGGTTTGGCCTGATTGTGGACCGCTGGGATGGGACACATACTGGTAATGGGCTTGTGCTGACTGCAGACCGCTGGGCTGAGACACAGACTGGTACCTGGCTTGGGCTGTTTGTTGGATTCCAGACTGGTAGCTGGTTTGGGCTGATTGCAGACCACTTGGCTGGGACACAGACTGGTAACGGGCTTGGCCTGATTGCAGACCGCTAGGCTGGGACACAGACTGGTAACGGGCTTGGCCTGATTGCAGACTGCTAGGCTGGGACACAGACTGGTAACGGGCTTGGCCTGACTGCAGACCGCTGGGCTGGGACACAGACTGCGAGCTGGCTTGGGCTGACAGCAGACTGCAGGGCAAGGATAGAGACTGGTATCTGGCTTGGGCTGAAGGCAGACCACTGGGCTGTACCAAAGACTGATCATGTGCTTGTGCTGACTGCAGACCGCTGGGCCAGTTCACTGATTGGAAGCCAGTTTCTGTAGGTTTTTGGAAACCAAGCTGTGGCACAATCTGGTAGCTGGCTTGTGCTGAAGGCAGGCTAGACTGAGAGTTGAATTGGGCTGGTTGTTGGATTCCAGACTGGTCCACAGACCATGAGCTGGTTTGAGCTGAATGCAGACTGCTGGGCAGGGACACAGGCTGGTACCTGGCTTGGGCTGCTTGTTGGACGCCAGACTGGTCCACAGACTGTGAGCGGTCTTGGGCTGACAGCAGGCTACCCGATTGTTCCACAAACTGTGAGCTAGTTTGAGCTGAATACAGACTGCTGGGCTGGAACACAGACTGGTAACGGGCTTGTGCTAACTGCAGACCACTGGGATGGGACACAGACTGGTAGCGGGCTTGTGCTAACTGCAGACCACTGGGCTGGGACACAGACTGGTAGCGGGCTTGTGCTAACGGCAGACCACTGGGCTGGGACACAGACTGATACCTGGCTTGGGCTGGTTGTTGGATGCCAGACTGGTAGCTGGCTTTGCCTAATTGCAGACCGATGGGCTGGGACACCGACTGGTAACGGGCTTGTGCTAATTGCGGACCACTGGGCTGGGACACAGACTGGTACCGGGTTTGTGCTAACTGCAGACTGCTGGGCTGGGAAACGGACACCAAGTTAGCTATGTTTGTTTGTTGGATGCCCAACTGCGAGCTGGCTTGTGCTGAAAGCAGGCTACCTGATGGTTCCACAGACTGTGAGCTGAATTGGGATGTTTGTTGGATGTCAGACTTTTCCACAGACTGTGAGCTGTCTTGGGCTGACAGTAGGCTACCTGATGACTCCACAGACTGTGAGCTGGCTTGGGCTGTTTGTTGGATGTCAGACTGGTCCACAGACTGTGAGCTATCTTGGACTGACAGCAGGCTACCTGATGGTTCCACAGACTGTGAGCTGTCTTGGGCTGAGAGCAGGCTACCTGATGGTTCCAAAGAGTGTGAGCTGTCTTGGGCTGACAGCAGGCTACCTGATGGTTCCACAGACTGTGAGCTGAACTGGGCTGTTTGTTGGATGTCAGACTTGTCCACAGACTGTGAGCTGGCTTGGGCTGAGAGCAGACTACCTGATGGTTCCACAGACTGTGAGCTGAACTGGGCTGTTTGTTGGATGTCAGACTGGTCCACAGACTGCGAGCCATCTTGGGCTGTATTTTGGATGCCAGACTGGTCCACAGACTGTGAACTGGCTTGGGCTGGTTGTTGGATTCCAGACTGGTTCACAGACTGTGAGCTGTCTTGGGCTGACAGCAGGCTACCTGATGGTTCCACAGACTGTGAGCTAGTTTGAGCTGAATGCAGACGGCTGGGCTGGACCACAGACAGGTACCTGGCTTGGGCTGATTGCAAACCGCTGGGCTGGGACATAGACTGGTAATGGGCTTGTGCTAACTGCAGACCACTGAGCTGGGACACAGACTGGTAGCGGGCTTGGGCTGACTGCAGTCCACTGGGCTGGGACACAGATTGGTACCGGGCTTGGGCTAACTGTAGACCGCTGGGCTGGGAAACAGACTGGTACCTGGCTTGGGCTGACTGCAGTTCACTGGGATGGGACACAGACTGGTAGCGGGCTTGTGCTAACTGCAGACCACTGGGCTGGGACACAGACTGGTACCTGGCTTGGGCTAACTGCAGACCACTGGGCTGGGACACAGACTGGTAGCGGGTTTGTGCTAACTGCAGACCACTGGGCTGGGACACAGACTGGTACCGGGTTTGTGCTAACTGCAGACTGCTGGGCTGGGACACAGACTGGTAGCTGGCTTGGTTTGTTTGTTGGATGCCAGACTGCGAGCTGGCTTGGGCTGAAAGTAGGCTACCTGATGGTTCCACAGACTGTGAGCCGAATTGGGATGTTTGTTGGATGTCAGACTGGTCCACAGACTGTGAGCTGTCTTGGGCTGACAGTAGGCTACCTGATGACTCCACAGACTGTGAATTGGCTTGGGCTGTTTGTTGGATGTCAGACTGGTCCATAGACTGTGAGCTGTCTTGGGCTGACAGCAGGCTACCTGATGGTTCCACAGACTGTGAGCTGAACTGGGCTGTTTGTTGGATGTCAGACTGGTCCACAGACTGCGAACTGGCTTGGGCTGGTTGTTGGATTCCAGACTGGTTCTCAGGCTGCGAGTTGTCTTGGGCTGACAGCAGGCTACCTGATGGTTCCACAGACTGTGAGCTGGCTTGGGCTAACAGCAGGCTACCTGATGGTTCCACAGACTGCAAGCTAGCTTGGGCTGTATGTTGGATGCCAGCCTGCGAGCTGGCTTGGGCTGACAGCAGGCTACCTGATTGTTCCACAGACTGTGAGCTAGTTTGAGCTGAATGCAGACTGCTGGGCTGGACCACAGACAGGTACCTGGCTTGGGCTGATTGCGAACCGCTGGGCTGGGACACAAACTGGTACCTGGCTTGGGCTGACTGCAGGCCACTGGACTGGGACACAGATTGGTACCTGGCTTGGGCTGACTGCAGGCCACTGGGCTGGGACACAGATTGGTACCTGGCTTGGGCTGACTGCAGGCCACTGGGCTGGGACACAGATTGGTAGCGGGCTTGTACTGTCTGCAGACCGCTGGGCCAGTTCACTGATTGGGAGCCGATTTGTGTAGGTTTTTGGAAACCAAGCTGGGGCACAAACTGGTAGCTGGCTTGAGCTGAAGGCAGGACAGACTGCGAGCTGGCTTGGGCTGGTTGTTGGACGCCAGACTGGTCCACAGTCTGCAAGCTGGCTTGGGCTGGTTGTTGGATGCCAGACTGGTCCACAGACTGCGAGCTGACTTGGGCTGGTTGTTGGATGCCAGACTGGTACACAAACTGCGAACTGGCTTGGGCTGGTTGTTGGATGCCAGACTGGTCCACAGACTGCGAACTGGCTTGGGCTGGTTGTTGGATGCCAGACTGCTCCACAGACTGTGAGCCGTCTTGGGCTGACAGCAGGCTACCTGATGGTTCCATAGACTGCGAGCTGGCTTGGGCTGACAGCATGCTACCTGATGGTTCCACAGACTGCGAGCTAGCTTGGGCTGTATGTTGGATGCCAGACTGTGAGCTAGTTTGAGCTGAATGCAGACTGCTGGGCTGGACCACAGACAGGTACCTGGCTTGGGCCGATAGCAAACCGCTGGGCTGGGACACTGACTGGTAACGGGCTTGTGCTAACTGCAGACCACTGGGATGGGACACCGACTGGTACCTGGCTTGGGCTGACTGCAGGCCACTGGGCTGGGACACAGATTGGTACCTGGCTTGACCTGACTGCAGGCCACTGGGCTGGGACACAGATTGGTACCTGGCTTGAGCTGACTGCAGACCACAGGGCTGGGACACAGATTGGTACCGGGCTTGTGCTGACTGCAGACCGCTGGGCTGGGACACAGACTGGTACCTGGCTTGGGCTGACTGCAGGCCACTGGTCTGGAACACAGATTGATAGCGGGCTTGTACTGTCTGCAGACCGTTGGCCCAGTTCACTGATTGGGAGCTGGTTTGTGTAGGTTTTTGGAAGCCAAGCTGAGGCACAAACTGGTAGCTGGCTTGAGCTGATGGCAGGCCAGACTGCGAGCTGGCTTGGGCTGGTTGTTGGATGCCAGACAGGTCCACAGACTGCAAGCTAGCTTGGGCTGGTTGTTGGATGCCAGACTGGTCCACAGACTGCGAGCTAGCTTGGGCTGGTTGTTGGATGCCAGACTGGTCCACAGTCTGCAAGCTGGCTTGGGCTGGTTGTTGGATGCCAGACTGGTCCACAGACTGCGAGCTGGCTTGGGCTGGTTGTTGGATGCCAGACTGGTCCACAGTCTGCAAGCTGGCTTGGGCTGGTTGTTGGATGCCAGACTGGTCCACAGACTGCGAGCTGGCTTGGGCTGGTTGTTGGATGTCAGACTGGTCCACAGACTGCGAGCTGCCTTGGGCTGGTTGTTGGATGCCAGACTGGTCCACAGACTGAGAGCTAGCTTGTGCTGACAGCAGGCTACCGGATGGTTCCACAGACTGAGAGTTGGCTTGGGCTGATTGTAGGCCACTGGATTGTTCCACAGAATGTGAAACAGCTCGTTCAGAGTTCTGGCTGCTGACTTGAAATGATTGTTGGAGGCTGGGCCGGGCCACAATTTGGTATCTTGCCTGTGCTAGCTGCACACCACTTGGCTGAACTGTGGAACCATAGCGTGACTGCACTAATTGCTGTTCACTCGGTAATGGCACAAGTCCATGTCCAAAGCTGGATTGCCCTAACTGATACCTGGGTTGTGAAGACTCATATCTCTGCTGCAAAGGCTGGACCAAAAAGGTAGAACCCAAAACCTGGACTGGCCTGTTACCAGACAACTTCGAAAAAACTGGAAGTCTACTTCTCTGAGGCTTAACAATGGGCTGCACTGCAGACTGGTGGCTGACTTCCACTAGTTGGCCACTGGACTGAGAGCTGTTTTGCACTATTTGCTGGCTACTAGACACCACAGGCTCATTACTAGACTGTACTACTGTTTGATAGTTGAGCTGTATTGGCTCAGGTAGAGACTCAATGAGCATACTTGTACCCATTGCTGTGGTCACAGAACCAGAAACAAGACTGCCACTACCAGATGAAGATATCAGAGATCCTTGAAGTTGACTACTAGCATCAGAGTCAGAACCAGGCTCATATACATTATTCACTGGTCCAAAACCAGAAGAGCTGTTTTGAGGACTATAGCTTACACTGCTATACACACCCTTAACTTGTGCAGCACTGTAAGTTTTACTCCTTGATCTTTGAGGACTAATGGGATTTGATACATCAGCACCATACCAGCTGGAAGAACTTCGTGGCTTCACATTCTGCATGGGTAAACCAGCCTCATAGTATACAGGATAATCACTTCTGACAAAGCCACCAACTAGAAGAAAATAAAAAGAAAGAATCAAACAGACATGCAAACATGAATTATAGAACTTGCCTGGATAAACCTTACCACTTCCAAAATGGTCACAGACACAAAGACTAAGAAGTACCAAAGAAAAACTGTAGTGAGAGAGAAAGAAAAATGAAACTTGTTAGATGAATGCCACTTTTTAACAAATACCAAATACTACAATTTATCATCATACCTTAAGAGTGGGCTAGTGGTACCCTCCATGGCCATACAAAAATACACCCAACCACCTCAACAACACCAGCAGCAAACAATCATAAAAACATACTTGACCTACAACACATATTAGTTTTGGCCTGACGGGACTCTTTATAGTGCCAGCAACTGCCATTTACCAATTGTTTCTTGACAATCAGTTGTCATGGGAACATGTAATACTCAATTATTAGGTTCAGGTGTTACAACTCTTATCATGACTGCTGCCATTTCATTAAAGACAGTTGATTTTTATCAACGTGATCTCATGAGAATACGTATGTATTTATACGTAAAGTGTCGTTCTATCATACGTATATATAATTACGTTTTATATGCGCAGAAACGTATAATACTGACGTATTTACAGTACTAAAACGTAAAATATTTACGTATTGACAGCACAAAAACGTAATTTATTTACGTATGAACAAATCCACCGACGTACACATTGTACGTATCACAATTTATGCATATTAATATCGTAGCAGCATTATGTTTTGACTCTGTTGCATTCCACTGTCTTATTAATAAAGTTTTCAGTCGCATTTATTGATATAATACTCATAAATATGAACATTTTGCTCGTTTCGCCTACATGTTGTTAAACAATGCACTATAAAACCTTAAAAATACAGTCTTTAACGTTAACTACTCGTTCAACCATTTTGTAATAGTTTATTTACCTTGAGACACATAAAGCGTTTTCTCCTATAAAACACAACAAAAAAATCACAAAAGACATCAATTTGATTAGTTTGATGTAATCCAAATCTTTAGTATCCATAGTTGTTTAAAACAACTCCTAATTCAGCCTCTTATCCAGTCGTGATCTCTCCATTCTCAGCAGCGACCGTACATGTCAAACCCCGCGCTGATGAATTCAAATTCAAAAATTGCTCCCTTGAGAAGCGATACGTCATGTTTTACGGCAGTGATATCAAACGTTCATTGGCTCTTCCCTGCTTCGTCACAGTTTGCGACATGAAGGACTGTGCTGGTTGGTTAGTTTAGTTCATTTGAATTTTAAAAATGGAGAAGCGCGAACCGAAGCCGGATTAACATTTTCATTATTTATTTAATTTCTGCTCTGTACTCATACAAAACTATTACAATACTGCCAGAGACAGAGAGAAGACTGCGACTGCAACGCTTCATCATGTGAACGGCTTTTGGTATCGGTTTTGACATTTTTGCAATAAATAAATTGTGATTATACTTGTCTGTTAGTTATGTTTTTCTTAATAATTGTAGTTTGTTACGTAGTTTTAAGGAATTGTTATGGTAACGTTAGGTTTAGGGGTAGGATTGGTGGCTCAAAATATATTTTAATGTTATATTGTTATTAAAACTACCCTTTCCAACACCTGTCCGTTACGTTTTATCCTTTTTTATATTAAGTATAAAATGGGTATGTTTAGGTTTGGGATTAGGGTTACGGGATCTTACATTTATGTATAAAATGGTAAAAGGGAAATTATACAGATATCTTATGATATAGAATATACGTAAATAGTTTACGTTTTGTAGCTGTAAAAACGTAATAATGTTACGTTTAAATGTTGCAGATACGTCTATATTATACGTTTCAGCACCTATCCAGACGTACTAAAAAGTACGTTTTTTATCTTTGCAAAAACGTAAAATACCTACGTATTAACAATGAGACCAGGCTGTTTTTATTTTATGATTAGGCTTAGCTGGTCCATAGACTGGTAAACCCTTTATGTTGTGTTAACCAATCAACAAATTTGTTTGGAGTATCTTTAGGCCATGTCCACACTAGTATGTTTTCATTTGAAAACGTATATTTTTCTCTCCATTTTGGCCTTCCGTCCACACTGAGACACCGTTTTAAGTCAACAAAAACGTATCTTTTGGAAAACGCTCTCCGGAGTGGATAAATTTGAAAATGCCGTTTTTGTATTGTAGTGTGGACAGTGAAGCCGGAGGTATTTGAAAACGATGATGTAAGTTTAGTCATGTGATCTATGTTGTACCAATAGATATTCATGTTTATCGGCATTGTGCCTGTTATGTGTTATTCACTTTTTTACTCTGTTCCTAAAATAAGTTACTATCTATGTTACTTAATATGTGCTATTCTTCATAGCACAGTATTGCAAAGATGACGGATAATGTACTCCCATTTGCTGTCCTGCAGCAAAACAGGAGAGCAGTTGCGTTTTAGAGCAAACAGTGACTGAATGTGACCTGGATGCATCAGTGATGGTGAGATATTTTGCTAAATAAAACTATCCTGTTAGAAGAATTATGCGATAACTTTATTATTTATTTCCCCCTCTGTATCGTCTCAGTGAGCTTTTGTGAAGTTTCACGCATGCGCAGTAAAGTGAATTTAGAAGTTTCTCATCCATACTGAAACGTCAGAAAACGCAAGTGTGGATGGAGGGCGTTTTTAAACGAAAACACCGTTTTCAAATGTGTCCGGATTAATGTGGACGTAGCCTTAGGAGTTGCTAAACTCATTCCCTGCGTCACAATTAAATTACTTATACTACGCCCTAAAAGTATTTACTCTTTTAGTTAAGAAAAAGTACATACTTTTGTTAAGAAAAAGTACATACTTTTGTTAAGAAAAAGTACATACTTTTGAACAAAGATACAAATGAAATAAATAGATTTCAGGTAGGCCTAACTATATTTAGGTACACAATATTATAATAAAGATGAATATATAATTTATACATTTTAAGCTAAAGAAGCAGAGTTTTAGGCTGCTTTCACTTTAAGACCAAATACATGGTCTGATTTTCTGATTTTCTCCCAACTGTTTACGTTAAAGGGTAACTAAACACCAAAACAACTTTTTTTAGTTAATGATCTAATGGATTTGGCCCTGTGTCTACATACAATTCACCCTCATCCACTTCAGGTGAAGGTGAAGGTGAGGGAGAAAAGTCCTCGACTTCAAATGGCCGCTCTGTTGCAAAGGCAGCTACTTGAGTCACTCCAGTCTCGCTCTATTTTAGAGTCTGACTGCAGCTGTCACTCACGGCGGGTCTCAGGTGCACGCCCCCTAGCCCCGCTGGGGTCTGCCCATTTTTTCAGCATTTTTCAAATATTGCTAGTGGGTGGAGTCAGGCTCTGACCAGGGGTTTAGTTACCCTTTAAGACTATTTATTTTATCTCTGGGTTTAGGAGGATAGTCGCCAAAACCGCCATTTTGACATGATTTCGAGTGTATTTATCTATTTAAGCGTGACAAGACACAAAAGAGTTCAGTAATGGTGTGCTGATGCACAGAAAACAGTGCATGTATACACAATTGAACTTTTTTAGCATATTCTTGCCAGTGAACAGTTTAAAACCCTTTGAATGTTTATGAAGACCACTTTCATGTTCTAATACTGCTTTCTTTCTAAATAACAAGTGAAATTTTGAAACCAACTGGTTGAAAACTATGATCTCCCTCAAAATCTGGAGTTAAATAAAATACACCAATTTTGCAATCTGTCCTTATTTGACGTGAAGCCAGGGTGTAACCTCTGGAGCCTCAATTAAAAAAAAAGTTACTCTGAGGTCCATAGAGGGCAAAAATGTCCCGGTCAATAAACAGTCATAGAATGTAAAGCTTTGGAGCACAGACTTAATTTTGGTCTAATTTTAAAGAAGACCCTTGGCTGATTTTTCTTGAAGTACAAAGCAAAATTTAAAGGTTTAAGATTATGACAATTATTAATGAAAATGATTTTACATAATATATAAATTTAATAAAACTGTGGGTAAGTTTCATTTTAAAAAAGCAATTACATTTTTGTCAAAGACTACGTCTGGATCGGATTCAGAATGATCCATCAGATTGAGCTCGATTCCATCAACAACCGTTTTCCTTAATAAATCTAACGATCCAAATTTATGAACCTGTGAACAAGCAGCCAAGAATACATTTCAGAACATCTCGATCAAAAATGGAGTACAAGTATAGCCCTAATATACTTAGACTTTTCTGTCAGCATGTCAATATATGCAAGTTCAATTTTAAGTATTTGTCAAAGTACATAAAGTATAGTTTTTTAAAAAAATATTTGTACGCTTTCAGTTTACTTTGTTTAAAAATTATACTAATAGCACCTAAACTGTCATAAGGGTGCCATCCTTCCCATAATGTTAATGGGTTATTGGGTCAGTTAGTTATTCGTGGCCATTTGAACAGTCAGCCACATGAGCGTTTACAATATGAAAGCAATCTGGTCAAATGCAGTCAACCTCTTGAAGTTGTTGAAAGTGAATAAGCGCCAAACATTTGACACCTTTTCACCCGTTTTTAGCATACACTTGATCTGATCAACCAAAACTCATCTCTTTGGTGTACAAGTAGGAGAGAACAAAGCAGATTATGTTACACAAAGATGAGGCCATGTCATGCTAATGACACAAACAATACTAAAACTCCCAGTGGACACTTGAGGTTACAGGTTTGTTTATTTTTTTGAAAAACAAACACTAAATGAAGAAAACAAGGCAGTGTATGCAGCTATGACTTCACCTGATGCAGCAAACTCAATAAGCCTTGAGACTGTGTCAGACTCTTAGCTTGAAGTGGTAGTTTACTGGGTTGCTCCAAAGGCTTGGAACCAAGACTGGAAAGAGACATGTAACTTGACTGCTCTGGCTTAGGAAAGACCTGGAATCTAGACTGCCGGGACACAGACTGGTAGCTGGTTTGGCCTGATTGCAGACTGCTGGGCTGGGACACAGACTGGTAACGGGCATGTGCTGACTGCAGAACGCTTGGCTGGGACACAGACTGGTAGCTGGCTTGGCCTGATTGCAGACTGCTGGGCTGTGACAGAGACTGGTAACGGGCATATGCTGACTGCAGAACACTGGGCTGGGACACAGACTGGTAGCTGGCTTGGCCTGATTGCAGACCACTGGGCTGGGACACAGACTGGTAATGGGCATGTGCTGACTGCAGAACACTGGGCTGGGACACAGACTGGTAGCTGGCTTGGCCTGATTGCAGACCGCTGGGCTGGGACACAGACTGGTAACGGGCTTGGCCTGATTGCAGACCACTGGGCTGGGACACAGACTGGTAATGGGCATGTGCTGACTGCAGACCGCTGGGCTGGGACACAGACTGGTAACGGGCTTGTGCTGACTGCAGACCGCTGGGCTGGGACACAGACTGGTAACGGGCTTGTGCTGACTGCAGACCACTAGGCTGGGACACAGACTGTTGGCCAGACTGCAGACCGCTGGGCTGGTCTACAGACAGATAACGGACTTGTGCTGACTGCAGAACACTGGGCTGGGACACAGACAGCAAGCTAGCTTGGGTTGACCGCAGGCTACCTGCTGCTTCCACCGACTGTGAGCTGGCTTGTGCTGACTGCAAAATGCTGGGCTGGGACGCTGACTGGTAACGGGCTTGTGCTGACTGCAGACTGCACGGCAAGGACTGGTATCTGGCTAGGCCTGATTGCAGATCGCTTGGCTGGTCCACAGACTGCAAGCTGATTTGGGCTGACAGCTGGCTATCTGATGCTTCCACAGACTGTGAGCTCTCTTTTCCTGACTGCAAACTACTGGGCCAGTTAACTGATTGGGAGCTAGTTTGTGTAGGTTTTTGGAAACCTAGCTGGGGCACAATCTGGTAGATGGCTTGTGCTGACGGCAGGCCAGACTGTGAGCTGAATTGGGCTGGTTGTTGGATATTAGACTGTGAGCTGGGATGAGCTAAATCCAAACTGCTGGGCTGGGACACAGACTGGTACTTGGCTTGGGCTGGTTGTTGGATGCCAGACTGTTCCACACACTGTGAGCTGGCTTGGGATGGTTGTTGGGTGCCAGACAATGAGCTGGATTGAGCTGAATGCAGACTGCTGGGCTGTACCACAGACTGATAGCGGGCTTGTGCTGACTGTAGACCGCTAGGCCAGTTCACTGATTGGGAGCCAGTGTGTTTAGGTTTTTGGAAACCAAGTTGGGGCACAAACTGGTAGCTGGCTGGAGCTGATGGCACGCCAGACTGTGAGCTGAATTGGGCTGGTTGTTGGACGCCAGACTGTGAGCTAAATTGGGCTGGTTGTTGGATGCCAGACTGTGAGCTGAATTGGGCTGGTTGTTGGACGCCAGACTGTGAGCTGAATTGGGCTGGTTGTTGGATGCCATACTGTGAGCTGAATTGGGCTGGTTGTTGGATGCCAGACTGTGAACTGAATTGGGCTGGTTGTTGGACGCCAGACTGTGAGCTGAATTGGGCTGGTTGTTGGATGCCAGACTGTGAGCTGAATTGGGCTGGTTGTTGGACGCCAGACTGTGAGCTGAATTGGGCTGGATTTGGGGTGCCAAACTGCTCCACAGACTGACAGCTGGCTTGAGCTGGTTGTTGGAGGCCAGACTGGTCCACAGACTGCGAGCTGGTTTGAGCTGAATGTAGACTGCTGGGCTGGGACACAGACTGGTAGCAGGGTTGTAATGTCTGCAGACTGCTGGGCCCATTCAATGATTGGGAGCCGGTTTGTGTAGGTTTTAGGAAACCAAGCTGGGACACAAACTGGTTGCAGGGTTGTACTGTCTGCAGACTGCTGGGCCAGTTCACTGATTGGGAGTCAGTTTGTGTAGGTTGTTGGGAACCAAGCTGGTAGCTGGCTTGAGCTGATGGCAGGCCAGACTGTGAACTGAATTGGGGTGGTTTTTGGATGCCAGACAGGTCCACAAACTGTGAGTTCACTGATTGGGCGCCGGTTTGTGTAGGTTTTAGGAAACCAAGCTGTGGCACAAACTGGTAGCTGACTTGGCCTGATTGCAGACTGCTGGGCTGGGACACAGGCTGGCAGCAGGTTTGAACTGTCTGCAGACTGCAGGGCCAGTTCACTGATTGGGAGCCGGTTTGTGTAGGTTCTAGGAAACCAAGCTGGGACACAAACTGGTAGCAGGGTTGTACTGTCTGCAGACTGCTGGGCCAGTTCACTGATTGGGAGTCAGTTTGTGTAGGTTTTTGGAAACCAAGCTGGTAGCTGGCTTGAGCTGATGGAAGGCCAGACTGTGAACTGAATTGGGGTGGTTTTTGAACGCCAGACAGGTCAGCAAACTGTGAGCTGGCTTTGGCTGGATTTGGAATGCCAAACTGCTCCATAGACTGGTAGCTGGCTTGAGCTGGTTGATAAATCCCAGACTGTGAGCTGAATTGGGCTGGTTGTTGGATGCCAGACTGGCCCACAGAATGTGAGCTGAATTGGGCTGGTTGTTGGATTCCAGACTGGTCCACAAACTGTGAGCTGCCTTGGGCTTGATTTGCGATGCCAAACTGGTCTACAGACTGGTAGCTGGCTTGAGCTGGTTGTTGGATGCCAGACTGGTCCACAGACTGTGAGCTGGCTTGGGCTGTTTGTTGGATTCCATACTGGTAGCTGGCTTGAGCTGATGGCAGGCCAGACTGTGAGCTGAATTGGGCTGGTTGTTGGATGCCAGACTGGTCCACAGACTGTGAACTGGCTTGATCTGGTTGTTGGATTCCAGACTGGTCCACAAACTGTGAGCTGCCTTGGGCTGGATTTGCGTTGCCAAGCTGGTCTACAGACTGATTGCTGGTTTGATCTGGTTGTTGGATGCCAGACTGGTCCACAGACTGTGAGCTGAATTGGGCTGGTTGATGGATGCCAGACTGGTCCACAAACTGTGAGCTGCTTTGGGCTGGATTTGCGATGCCAAACTGGTCTACAGACTGGTAGCTGGCTTGAGCTGGTTGTTGGATTCCAGACTGGTCCACAAACTGTGAGCTGCCTTGGGCTGGATTTGCATTGCCAAGCTGGTCTACAGACTGGTTGCTGGTTTGATCTGGTTGTTGGATGCCAGACTGGTCCACAGACTGTGAGCTGAATTGGGCTGGTTGATGGATGCCAGACTGGTCCACAAACTGTGAGCTGCTTTGGGCTGGATTTGCGATGCCAAACTGGTCTACAGACTGGTAGCTGGCTTGAGCTGGTTGTTGGATTCCAGACTGGTCCACAAACTGTGAGCTGCTTTGGGCTGGATTTGCGATGCCAAACTGGTCTACAGACTGGTAGCTGGTTTGATCTGGTTGTTGGATGCCAGACTGGTCCACAGTCTGGTCGCTGGTTTGATCTGGTTGTGGAATGCCAGATTGGTCCACAGACTGGTAGCTGGTTTGATCTGGTTGTTGGATGCCAGACTGGTCCACAAACTCTGAGCTGCCTTGGGCTGGATTTGCGATGCCAAACTGGTCTACAGACTGGTAGCTGGATTGATCTGGTTGTTGGATGCCAGACTGGTCCACAAACTGTGAGCTGAATTGGTCTGGTTGTTGGATTCCAGACTGGTCCACAAAATGTGAGCTGCCTTGAGCTGGATTTGCAATGCCAAACTGGTCTACAGACTGGTAGATGGGTTGATCTGGTTTTTGGATGCCAGACTGGTCCACATACTGGTAGCTGGTTTGATCTGGTTGTTGGATGCCAGACTGGTCCACAGACTGGTACCTGGTTTGATCTGGTTGTTGGACGCCAGACTGGTCCACAGATTGGTAGCTGGCTTGAGCTGGTTGTTGGATTCCAGACTGGTCCACAGACTGTGAGCTAAATTGGGCTGGTTGTTGGATGCCAGACTGGTCCACAGACTGTGAGCTGCCTTGGGCTGTGTTTGCGTTGCCAAACTGGTCTACAGACTGGTAGCTGGTTTGATCTGGTTGTTGGATGCCAGACTGCTCCACAGACTGGTGGCTGGTTTGATCTGGTTGTTGGATGCCAGACTGGTCCACAGACTGATAGCTGGATTGATCTGGTTGTTGGATGCCAGACTGGTCTACAGACTGTGAGCTGGCTTGAGCTGGTTGTTGGATTCCATACTGGTATCTGGCTTGAGCTGATGGCAGGCCAGACTGGTAGCTGGCTTGGGCTGTTTGTTGGATTCCATGCTGGTATCTGGCTTGAGCTGATGGCAGGCCAGACTGGTAGCTGGCTTGGGCTGTTTGTTGGATTCCAGACTGGTATCTGGCTTGAGCTGGTTGTTGGATGCCAGACTGGTCCACAGACTGTGAGCTGAATTGGGCTGGTTGTTGGATGCCAAACTGGTCCACAGACTGTGAGCTGAATTGGGCTGGTTGGATACCAGACTGGTCCACAGACTGGTAGCTGGCTTGAGCTGGTTGTTGGATACCAGACTGGTAGCTGGTTTGAGCTGAATGCAGACTGCTGGGCTGGACCACAGATTGGTACCTGGCCTGGGCTGACTGCAGACTGCTGGGCTGTTTCACTGACTGGGAGCCGGTTTGTGTAGGTTTTTGGAACCCAAGCTGGGGCACAAACTGGTAGCTGGCTTGAGCTGATGGCAGGCCAGACTGTGAGCTGAGTTGGCCTGGTTGTTGGATGTCAGAGCTGGCTTGCCCTAACTGATACCTGGGTTGTGAGGACTCATTTCTCTGCTGCAAAGGCTTGACCAAAAAGGTAGAACCCAAAATCTGGATTGGCCTGTTACCAGAAAATAACTTGGAAACAACTGGAAGTCTACTTATCTGAGGCTTGACAGTGGGCTGCACTGCAGACTGGTAGCTGACTTCCATTAGTTGGCCACTGGACTGAGAGCTGTTTTGCACTATTTGCTGGCTACTAGACACCACAGACTCATTACTAGACTGTACTACTGTTTGATAGTTGAGCTGTATTGGCTCAGGTAGAGACTCAGTGTGCATACTTGTACCAATTGCAGTGGTCACAGAACCAGAAACAAGACTGCCACTACCAGATGAAGATATCAGAGATCCTTGAAGTTGACTACTAGCATCAGAGTCAGAACCAGGCTCATATACATTATTCACTGGTCCAAAACCAGAAGAGCTGTTTTGAGGACTATAGCTTACACTGCTATACACACCCTTAACTTGTGCAGCACTGTAAGTTTTACTCCTTGATCTTTGAGGACTAACGGGATTTGATACATCAGCACCATACCAGCTGGAGGAACTTTGTGGCTTCACATCCTGCATGGGTAAACCAGCCTCATAGTATACAGGATAATCATTTCTGACAAAGCCACCAACTAGAAGAAAATAAAAAGAAAGAATCAAACAGACATGCTACCAAACATGAATTATAGAACTTGCCTTGATAAACCTTACCACTTCCAAAATGGTCACAGACACAAAAACTGAGAAGTGCCAAAGAAAACCTGGAAGTAACTGTAAAACTGAGAGAGGAAAAAAAAATGTTGAGTGAATGGCACTTGTTAACAAATGTCAAATACTACAATTTATCATCATACCTTAGGAGTCGGCTAGATGTACCCTCCATGACCACACAAAAATACAACTACAACAACACCAGTAAGAAAACCATACTTGACGTCAAACACACATTAGTGTTGCCTGACGGGACTCTTTGTAGTGCCAGCAACTGCCATTTGCCAATTGTTTCTTGACAATCAGTTGTCATGGGAACATGTAATAATAATTATTAGGTTCAGGTGTTCTCATGACAACTCATATCATGACTGCAGCCATTTCATTAAAGATAGTTTTTGTATATTATTATTACCCTTTGCTGGTCCTTAGACTGGGCTGTGTTCAGCCCGGGCAAAACGTTGCACAACGTTTTTTTAAACAGAAACAGTGATGCGTTGAACAAATTGTTCTGATGACGCAAGAGTTGCAACTATGGCAGCTGAGAAAGGCCATTCTTTGTGTTCTTTGTGAAGAATTTTCGGAGCTTGATGAAGTCGGTATAAATATGTGTTTAATACTACAAAATATGCCCGATGTTACAGTTACTGCACTTGCTGCCCAGAACACAAGAGAACATCCCAATCGAGTGAAGGGATTTGTGGAAACTGAAAGCACACATCTTACCTAATTCAGACTAAAACACAAATCTATTTAGCCTCACACACTAACTTTATTTGCATCTCATACTGTTTTAATACCCTATTTTCTTTCTCATTAGCAATTAATTACCATTGTTTATTTCTATACCAAATGTACTTGCAACAAAGCTAAACATATAAACAACTACATATAATTATGTTGCTATCCTAAATTTTTACAATAAAACTTACGACAAACATAATCTTCTAATATCCAGTTGTTGCGTATAAGCTACCGAGCTTCATTGAACACATTTGTAAATTACTTTCCTTAAGCCCATTGTGCGAGTTCACTTTAATACCATGTGCTTTTTATACATGTTGCTGCTGATTGGACTGCAGTTCTGACACACCCACCAAACAAGAGAAAACATATCTCAAACCCCGTTGCACACCGGTGCACACCATTTCCAGGAAACATGACGTTCAACCCGGAAACCGTAGCAAAAAGTTGCGCACCGTTTTGAACTTGAACGTGCCTCGGCTAACACCTTTATGTTGTATTAACCAGTCAGCAATTTGTTTGGAGTATCTTTAGGAGTTGCTAAGCTCATTATTATCTGCACTTCTCAAATATTTTTTCCTCTTTATTGAAACTAAAAAACCCAAAAACCAGAGCACACTGGTCATTTTATTTCAGATTTGTCATGAATAAATGTATGCCTACTTAAAAATACAGGACTATTCCTGATAGCTTTCCAGGATAAATCCTTTTTTTTTTTTTTTTCAGCATTAATGTTGAAACTATGTTGAACAAAAACAATCAATGGTAAGGCTATTGAATCGACTTTACACCATTATTGATTCTACTCTCACTGATGCTGAATCAGTGTTGAAATTAACAAAAATAATCAATGATGTTATGACGCTGAATCTACTGCTGTTGAATCAGCTCTTAAATTAACAAGAATAATCTTTGTAACATTGATCAAACCATATTACCAATGTGATGTTGATTCTAAATACATTAAGTTGAAACACTGAAAAGGAATGTCAAATAATGTTGCCTTCTGATGTACCAAGTTAATGTTGAAACATTAACATTTCAAAAACACTTCAATGGTGCGTCAACAAATTCCTGACCATTTAAAAGTTGGGCAAAAACCTTTTAGAATATAAATTACACCTTTCCAGCAGTTGAGTCAATTTATTTTGTTCAATTAATGACAAAAATATCTTAAAAGATTATTTAAAAAAAAAGGGGGGGGGGGCAGAAATAGGACAAAAGCACTTGAGCATTGATTTTACAAATCTGTTTTGCATCGGCTACACTTCTGTCTCTTTTCCTTTGGGTTCTCTGAAATCTGAAAAAGAAAGCATGATGTTACTCTAGAACGAGTCAATTCAGTTGTCATCACATTAACACTTAACTGTCACCGTCCCACAGGTGGGACGTTTGCCACTATATTTTTAAAACAATAATATCTTAGTAAATACCTTAAATAATATTGACAAACTATATATCATTTGAAAGCTTACAATCTCTAGTTTCCATATTTGGTGACTGATTTTCAAAATATATTACAGAGGAGCCATAATTTATCAATATAAAACAAGAATATTTTCATACTCATAAGGCGTGTTCAGACCTTTATTTTAAAATAGCAGTAAACATGAAAAATCATGAAAAAATGGTAGATACCTCAGTTTGTTTTCATGCCAAAAGTTCAAAAGATAGAATCCATTCAATTATTTTGGAAAAAAAAGGTCTGAAAAGTTTGAAATATCAAGAAAAAAATAATAAATTCACCATTTGTGACGTGGTAGCTAGCTATGACTTACATGCGTGTTCTTTGTATGTGTTTCTTAGAGGTTCAATTCATATCAAAATCTGCCAAACTTCCCATGCTACTTCTGAATAGGATCTCTACTTCAGAAATTGTATGAAAATTGTGAAAATAATGGTTCATATCACTCAAAACAGGAATGGAAATGCAGGCGCCCTTATATGGGCAGTAATGGAGTCTGATTGTGCCCTAGTGAAAAAGTTTGGTACTGCGCTCAAACAAAATCTTACTGAAAGCTCATTTTTTGAGATATCAACCTAAAATTTGAAACACAACTTGTTCAGATTTTTGGCTTTGATCTTTCTGCCATTTTAGAGTAGCCCAGGTTTTGAAAATATATATTTTATGTAAAATATGAATAATTAATATTTTTACATTGTACATTTCCATAAACTCAAACTTCTATAACTTTTTTTCTGTTTCACTTTCTTAATTTATTTCACTTCTACAAAAATCTGCCAAATGTCTTCTTTAAAACAAGACCAATCATATGTCTATATGCCAAAGCATTCTTGAATTACAACCATTTAAGTTCGAAATGTGCATTTTCATGTCTATTCAAAAAAGGGGGGTGACAGTTAACAGGTTAAAGAATATTAATATACTAAACACAATACGATTCACTTTTTTTAAGTTGCTGAGAAAATTCTAACTATGATCATAGTATTGTTAAAATTCTGTTTATTTAATTTATTTTTCTAAATTCTATTAACAAAGGAAAGCACTGCAGGGGTGTCTGATTTTATCTCCAGCCTTAATTAAACACACCTGAGTCAGATAATCAAGGTCATTAGGATCAATGAGAACTTACTCTTATTGTAGAGGAACGAACACCTCCAAGCTATAGCCATTAACTACATCTCAGTTCATTTTCTGTCAAACTACTTAATATTCATTTCTTTAAAGGGACAGTTTCAGCCCCTAATGAAAGTTCTGTCATCATTTTCTTACTCTCAAGTTGTTCCAACCTTGTATGAGTCTCTCTCTTCTGTTGAACACAAAATAAGATATTTTAAAGAATGTTGGTAACCAGAAAGTTGACGGCAGCCATTGATATCCATGGTAGGAAAAAAAATACCATGGAAGTCAATGGCTACCACCAACCATCACGTCTGGTTACCATCATCCAGACATTCATACAGGTTTGGAACAACTTCAGGGTTAATAAATGATGACATCATTTTCATTTCAGGCTGAACTATCCCTTTAAAGCTGAAGATTCACCTTATGTAGACCTTATTTTCTTTAAATATGACAAAATAGCCATATCGGTCAATTTCTTAATAAACACAAGATGTTGTTTGTTATTGTGTTTAAGTGGAAACAAGTTTAACTGAATGAAAATCAGTTACATTTCTCAAATTTAATACAGATTCAGGAATATGAATGATTACCTGATTAAGCAGTGATAATGCAGGATATCATCAAGTTCTGCGTAACATATACTGACACAGACAGGGAATAAATACACACAGATCTAACTAGATTAACAATGAACAGCTGGGACAATGATTACAGGGAACAACCAGAGCCCGTCTAACGGAGAGCCCTTGGCACTTCCTATTAGCCCCGTTGTGCATCATCCTGGTTGCAGTTCCATTAGAATTCCACTGGAGGTGATCGCGAGCAAGAGCAGAATGAATGGGAGTCTATGGGGGCTAAAAGTGTCTCTTTCACCTGCTTGTCGTTAAATTAACATAGATTTTATTGTTGATTCCACAAGTTCGATATAGATTATAGGCCAAAAGTCGAATGTACGAGTACTTATGTCCTTTTGATTTCTTACAGGTTAGGCCGTTGTTGGTCGGAACACGCTAGCATTCTGCTATTGTGTGTTCATCACATTTTTGAACGGATTTTTAGAACAGATAAGTGAACTTAAAAATGCAATTTTCAGCTGAGTGTATTATCTTAGCCCTCCCTTTTGAATGCAACTTTCAAATTACTCGACAAAAAATTACATCCTGAGAAAAGTGGATTTATGGGGGTGAAACCCCATTGACTCCCATTCATTCTGCACTCGACCGCGAGCGCCCCCGCATGGACAATGGGGTTTGTTTCACCCCCATAAATCCACTTTTCTCAGGATGTAATTTTTTGTCGAGTAATCCATTCTCTGGAAGTGAATGTCTAATTGAAGAGAATTGGCACTGGCTGGTTACTTCTGGGTTCTGGACTGGCTGCAGTAACACGTCTCTGTCCATGCGGGGGCGCTCGCGGTCGAGTGCAGAATGAATGGGAGTCAATGGGGTTTCACCCCCAGAAATACGCTTTTCTCAGGATGTAATTTTTTGTCAAGTAATTTGAAAGTTGCATTCAAAAGGGAGGGCTAAGAAAATACACTCAGCTGAAAATTGTTAACTTATCTGTTCTAAAAATCCGTTAAAAAATGTGATGACGTCACACAATAGCAGAATACTAGCGTGTTCCGGCCAACAACGGCCTAACCTGTAAGAAATCAAAAGGACATAAGTTCTCGTTCATTCGACTTTTGGCCTACAATCTATATTGAACTT